ATTTACTGACTATAACAAACAATTTTTAGCTATCATGTAATAAATCAAATCTAGAAAAGGAGCTATCAATTGTATCTTGTCTAAATCTCTAGTACAATGTAAGCTAACTAGAGAAGGGATTGTTTCTTACCCCATTATTCAGCTGTGGCAACTGTGTTTGCATACTAAAAATGCATTTAACGGACATAAATTGAAAAAGGGAAATGGGCTGCCACCATCACCATTTTTCAAAAAAGGAAAATGGGGCCCAAAGAGGTTTAATGGCTTTCTTAGAATCTTATAATCAATAAATTGTAGGATTTGGATTAGAAACCAGATAGGCCTTCTTCAAAGTCACATGCTTTTCTATTTATTATACTGCCTGAATCCATTGCCATGTTCCAGTTTTATTAATGAACTAGTCGCCTGGTGCATGAATTTGTGCACATTGAAAGGGATTTAATTAGAAGAAATGTTTTAATATCACTATTTGCCCTTTCTCTATAATAGAAGTGTTAGAGATTAAAGAAAATTAGAAAAATGTATATGAAAGTAATATATAAATTTATTAATAAGTAAACAATAACATCATATAACAGCAAACATATGATATAAAAACAACAAAAACATGATATAAAAACAACAAGAACATGATATAAGAACAACATTCATTCAGCTGATTCTGTGAGGGATGGGGCTCCTGCCACCCTACTGTCTGGGTCCTTGGTGCAGATGAATGGGATTCTGGGCTGATAGGCCACTGACAACAAGCTGAACAATGGCTGATTCCACGAGGGATGGGGCTCTCTCTGCCCTGCTGTCTGGGTCCTGGGTGCAGATATTTGGCTCCCTTCTCCATCCTGTCAGAGTCTGGACCGGCATCCACAGGGATACAGAGTCAAGCCCCCACCCAAGCCTGCAGGGATGCAACATCAAGCAGTGTCAAGTCTTGCAGTCAATTGCTTGCGGTTGGTCTCTTTAGGCAAAACTTGTTAGAAGCCTGGAACAAAGGAAAAGGATGGCAAGTAACTTCATGATTAATCAATCTCCATCTGGGAATTTCACCAAGAATTGGAAGCTAACTTGGAAGCTGATGTTAACACTCTTCAGCCTCTTATCTCTTCTGTCTCTCTTCTCTCTCTTAGCACTTTAGGGTTCTGCTTGGCTTCCTACAGCCCTCCACTATTTGCCCTATTACAAAAGGACAAATGGTTCTGCTGGATTACCCAAGCAGATCTCAGGCTGGTCCATTACAACACTGCGTCGTTCACCTGCTTGTTTGTATTTGGGAGGTATGTGTGAGCACATTTGCAGGAACTTGTACAGCTTTGTATAGCAAATTAGAGTGCAATCCAATAAAGGAGAAGAGAAAAAAACATCAACCACCTGTTATTCCCTTTCCCAAATGACTTTCCCAAAGCTATTTATGAAGGTCACTACCTGTGACAACAATGCAACCAGGAGCAGACCCCTTTCAATTTCTTTGCACTCCTGCAGAGCACATGCACAGGGACATAGTGAGTGCAGGGAGTGTTACCAGGAAATTGTCATGACTGAAAATAGAAAATGGGCATCCTACCTGGTCTCTGGCCAAGTCAGCATCTCTCCACTCAACTGGATCTGCTGTAGAAAGGAAAATGTTCCCCAGGGTAGAGGAGACAGGGGAGAAACTTAAAGAGAGATGGTTTGAGTGAAGCCTGCTTACCTTGTCCTTCCTTCTTGTTTCTGGTTTGATGGACTTTATAGGGGTCTTTCATTCACCAAACCTAAGTGACCTTTCAGATAAAGTTAGACTACTCGGGGAGAGGAGGTCTAAAGGTAGGTTAAAGATAAGGGCTAGTAGATGTTTGCCTTTAAGTCTTACCCTCTTCCCCCTAAGAAGATGTTTGACTTCTTTGTTGTTGGTGACAGGGTATCTAGCTTGACAAGCCAATCTCCCTGAGAGCCCCTGGAAAAGAGGGATTGATGGAAGCTGAATGTTGGCCTTGTAGCAGAGTGCCAGGAACATGAGCTTGGCAGTAAGCCCAACCTTGATTCCAACCCAACTCTGCTACTTAACTGCTATGTGATCCTGAGCAAATCAGAGTCATATAGCTTTTCTGAGCCTCCATTTCTCATTTGGAAAAGGGAGATATCATAATGTCTTATGAGGTTTCCTGAGGAGTAATGAGATAATATATGTGCAGAGCATGGTAATTCATTCATATAAATTATATCTAATATTAGGGCTGGTTGGTTAAGAATCCCGGAGTGAAGCAGTTTCAGGTGTGTGATGATGGCAGAAGGTAGATTCTAGTGTGTGTGTTTCAGGGCCAGCGGGTGGTGGGAGATGTAGGAAATGAACTAAGAATGAAAAAGACTTGGGTAAGTTCTTAGAGTTGGACGAAAGAGGTACCTGCAAAGATGGAGAAGCTGAGGGTGGGTGAATGAGGAGTTGACTGATGTGCGTGGTCCAGGAGGAGTTGGAAAGGAGCACAGGGCTCATCAGGGTGGGTGTTTCAAGTGAAGATTCAGAAACAGGACTTTCAGTGTATACAGGTGGCATAATAAACAGGAAAGCATGTGACTTTGGAAAAGGCTGATCTGGGTTTTAATCCCAGGCTCAATTTACTGACCAGAACAAACACTTTTTAGCTATCATTCAACAAAACAAATCTAGAAAAGGAGCAATCAATGGTATCTTGTCTAAATCTCTAGTGCAATGTAAGCTAACTACGGTAAGGATTGTTTCTTACCCCATTATTCAGCTTTGGCAATTGTGTTTGCATATTATAAATGCATTTAATGGACATGAATTAAGAACATTCAATCCCGTTTTTTTCTAGGTACTATTTTCAATAACTCAAGCAATATTTGTGAAAGTACTTTATAAATTAGAAAACACCACTGAAATGCTCCTGTGAGTTATTGAGCTATGCATTTTTTTCCCCCGGTCTTCTTAGATTTCACCTTTC